ATTGTACATGAGATAATTTGAACATTTTCTATGTATTTTCATCAACAATTTAGATTTTTGCATTTTTATCTATTAATTTTATAGTAAAAAAAAATACAAATTCTAAAATAAACTGATTTTGTGTTCAACCAAGTCCTATGAGTAATCTCCCATCTTTGTTTTTTGTAATTCCTATTTTTTATCTGACTTTAACCTGACTTACATTTAATTCTCTCACAGAATTGCATATTGTGTTGGGTAGTGTACACCTTAATACCTTATTAAGTCAGGTTAAAGTCAGATTAAAAATATGAGTTAGAAAAACCAAAGATGAGCCATTGCTCATAGGACACGGTTGAACACAATATCTGTTTATTTTAGTTAATTTTTTTGTAGTTTTTATGTTTTTTTACTATGAAATTAAGAGAATCAACAGAGCTCAGCTGTAGTGCGCTTGGATGGTATAATCCCCGTTTTAGGATGTGATGTTCCAATTGGTCCAGATATTTCAAAGTGCAGTATGTGTAATAGAAAAAAGAATAGCAGCCAATAGTGAAGTAAGTACTATTAATGGAATTAATAGAAATTGGTAATGTACTTACAATTTTCAGAGCATGTAACTTGCTCTAGTATAGACAGCTTAGGTGGGATAATCCCCACCAAAGATATGCAGGATCCAGGAAGTAAAAAATGAATGGATATAAAAGTAACTAATTAAAAGTATACTTTAATATATATAAAAAACATAATATAAACATAAAATAATTTAAAAGAAAGTCCACTTAACGCGTTTCACCCAGTAGGCTTCTGAAGAAGCCTACTGGGCGAAACGCATTAAGTGGACTTATGTTAAAAAACATAATAAAAACATAAAATATGTAAAAGAAAGTCCACTTAACGCGTTTCGCCCAGTAGGCTTCTGAAGAAGCCTACTGGGCGAAACACGTTAAGTGGATTTTCTTTTACATATTTTATGTTTATATTATTTTTTTTTATATTAAAGTATACTTTTAATTAGTTACTTTTATTTTTTACTTCCTGGATCCTGCATATCCTTGGTGGGGATTATACCACCTAAACTGTCTATACTAGAGCAAGTTACATGCTCTGAAAATTGTAAGTACATTACCAATTTCTATTAATTCCATTAATAGTACTTACTTCACTATTGGCTGCTATTCTTTTTTCTATTACGCATACTGCACTTTGAAATATCTGGACCAATTGGAACATCACATCCTAAGACGTGGATTATACCGTCCAAGCGCACTATAGCTGAGCTCTGTTATAGCTCATACAAATGTGAGTGGATTGAACTATAAGCTACAATCACTATCTCATAATAGTTATTGTTACTGTATTGCACTATTATTTATTTTTATTTATTCTGAGATTTCAGACTTATTGGAATTACCTACAAGTATATGTATGTATTATTTATATTTTTAAAAGCGCGTTTTACATTTTCTTCTTTTGTTTTACCTATTCCACAAGGTTTTGGGAATCCTTGTTCCGTATACTGCTGCTGATTTCACTTATTTCTATAGTGAGCGCCTATTACCTTCTCTTCTTTCTAAAAAAACCAAATATAAATACATAAAAAAAGTGGTCACAAAATCAAAAACATTACTTTTTTAATTTCTTATCCTATGCAGAAATTTGTATTTCTTACAAACTAGAAAAGCTTTGGATTGGTCTGGGTTATTCTAAATGGACTTGTTGAAATGTCAACAATAACATGGCCGTTGGTATGTCTAACACTTTCTGCCAACCCTTTCCCCTCCAGTATCCATTAAGAAGAATATTTTGTAGAGAATAATATAACCCTAACTATACACGTTTTAAAACAATATAAAACACTCAGTAAAACTACTACTAAACATATAAATATATATATATATATATATATATAATTTTTTTTTCTGTCATTGCACATTATAAACATTTTAATGGAAATAAACATTTAAGCAGAGACCTGGAAATCTTTGCCACGTGTGCGGTCTGATTGGTTTGCCTCCACTCAGTTGTTTTTTGTTTTTGATGGTACATACATAGCTTATCTGTTCTAGCAACCTAACAGACACAGCATATAGTTTTGTTAGATAATGCAGTTGGCAACTTTCAAATTCTTAGATACCGGTTTTCTAGAATTCCCATCATGCGAAACACTTAGCTGTTTCAGGTACCAGCTGTGTAGCCATCTGCTCTGAATCAGAGCCCTAACAAGACAAGAGCTCTACAAGTTAACACAGAAAGAGCCCACAGCACAGACCACAATAATGCATGGCAAATAAAAAGAAAATTAAAGCATAGTATTGTGCTTCGTATGGCATATACTGAAATATTTCCAGGGTGACAGAATGACTATAAAGGGAAATGTCCAACAGAGTTTTGGGACGTGTATACTTTTTTAATGCTTATATTTTATTACAATGTTTAAGAAAAAGTACTGAAACCTATCTGTCTATCTATCTATCTATCTTTTTTTACATTCTTGAATATGCATACACCTAAACGTGCATAGACCATTTTTTATAACAATTTGTACTTGGAAGGTTATAAAACTCAAATATTGTTCTTGTTGGCAAGAAATGTGTAAAGCTATTTGTCGATGTGTTAGGATGTGTTGTAATTATGTTTTGTTTGATGCATAGTTAGTTGTAGGGATTGTTTCCAGCTTAGAAGAAATATACTTCCTGGGATGTTTCAATCTGTTTCTGTAACGGATGACTTACTCCAAAATAAATTAAGCAAAATGGCTGTTCTGAAATCATTTTAAAACTCTTTATAGTAAAATTCTGTCATGCTGAATTTTGAATAACATATTTATAGCAATTTAACATATCAATGGGCTTAACTTTCCACCACAATTTTTACACCCAATACTGTTTTTTGTCCTAAGACCTCAAAATGAAATTGTATTAAAATGATAGACTGGTTTCAGACTCTGCATGGTTTATGGTATTACATGTGAATTGCTTGTAAAATAGTGATGTTTGTACACACCACAAATGCTGACAAAATTGCAATTTGCACTAGTTATATCCTTGCAAAGAAGACATAAGTTGATTGTGAGGTCCTTGTTGAGGAGTATCAATACCCCTTGATTGATGTGGCGATATAGCATGCAACTGGTGTGGGTATTGAGTTAATCCTAAATTTGGATGGGAGTTTGTGTGAAAGTGTGTCTCCTGTAGGCACACTATCTCTGCCTGTGCTGTTTTGAGTTCCCTGGCTAAAACATGTCTCTCATAGGGGATGTTCAGTCCCTGTATGTAGTGGGAATATATTTTCATTCTAAGTTGTCATGGTTTTGTGTGCTGTGTTAGATCCTTGTACCTCCCGTGGTATGCCTGGGGATTGTGTGTTGGCGTTACTCCGTCCATGTTTTGGGCTTTTGGCGTGGACTGGGTGCACGTTGCGAGCAGTAGATGCTCCTTAGTGGTTTCCAGGTGTGTGGCATGAAGCGTCCCCGGCATAAATATAGAATGTAAATATTCTGATATTCAAAAATTTATATTCAGAAAAAAGGGAGAATAAGAACAAGGTGAATAGCTCTGAAACTGGAAAAAAGGAATCACCAAACCTTAAGAACATATAAACATAAAAGAGACACACTATAAAATACAGTGTGAGTATCCAGGAGCTAAAAACCTAATACATGTACTTAATAAAGTGCAAATGGTTAAATGTACAAACAGAAAATCAATGAAACCTACAAAAGTTCAAAATAGATATAAAAGTCCAGAAGCGGTATATATAGCTTGAATATCCCTGACTCTGCTTGCGAAAACAACACAGGGCTGGTGGTACTAATGACAAATAATATACTTTTATATAGATATAAAAGATGTGTGTTGAGTCCACATTTGACAAAGCATATCAGTATAAGGAACTGATTGCTAAAAACATATAGTATAATATCACAAAAGCGATGAAAAAAGTAGAAAACAGCTGAAAATATAGATAAACTGATACATTTATTAAAAAAAACTTCAAATGTAAAAATAAGAATTAAAATCAGAGTACAGTAAGATAGCCAATCTATAGAAAATGGTTTGTGCAAGAAAACCTTAAGTCCAGACCCTGATGGATGAGGATTGTAGGAGTAGGTAGATCATCTGTATTTGACAGCCGGCCAGGACAACGTGCGTGTCACAGTGCATTCCACCTTAGACCTCACATCGAGGTGGAAGCTCTGGTCTCACGGAATAATGTTCCCAGCAGGTCCGGGGTCAGCAGCAGACAGGAGTGCTCACAAATGAATCCTTAGTGATAGTTGCTGGGCTTGACTCAACAGTTGTCTATCGTCTTGTCTTAAGTGTTTCATAGGGATGCAACCCTACTTCATCAGAGACTGTATTGGCTAGGTGATGTTAGGAGACTTTTATATATAAATGTCCTAAATTGCCAATTAATGGCATAAGCCTATTCAAATATATATGAGCAAGTTAACTAAGAAATAATACAAACTTAAACTGAAACTTAAACTGTGAGACCGTATTGGCATCCTAAACTCCTCTCCGTTGGTCTCTGGTCCGCTAGCTACTATCGCTAAACTTAAACTTAAACTCAGTATGCCGCGCCCTCCCACCTCCGGCCCTAAAATTGAATACCTGTCTATTCACCATGGGTATTTGAACCCTTTACCCACATATATGTAACTGTCTGGTGACCCAAAAGCTTCATTCGCTGCGGCTGGCTGTATTGCAAGCCTGTATGGTGGGGGTAAGGTAAGGGGGGCTGGGGTAAAGTGGGGGTGTGGGAGTGACAGCCCATTCCCTTTGTAAAACAAGCTGAAGCGTTAGTAAACATACTAATAACTGTGACATATGTCGACATATGACCTCTGATAGCGTAGTGGTTATCACATTACCAAGTCCCAGTTTTTCCCCATTCCTCACTGGTTTGGGCTGGAAAATTCCTTGATAACAGATTTTGTCTGTGTATGATCACCACGCTCTCAGTATCTTTAGTAGAGGCAAAGTCCTGAACAGATCAATTCTTTGTGTCACCCCTAGGTTGTTATGCAGAGTTTTGTAATGACCTCTTCTTGCGCACTTCTTTGGTGGGACTTTATTATTCCATGATCTTAGTCGATGTTGGGTGTCTGATGGTTCTCCATTCCTGTCGAATTTCTGTGTTTCGCTTGGTACTTTTTCCCGGAGCTGTGGTGGAGATGCCCCAGTTGCGGAGTAGTATAGTGCCCACTGCGATATCTGACACTGCATGTAGTTTGCCATTTTGGGAGATCAGGAGCTTAGCCGGCAAGCCCCAGCAGTATGGGATCTTCTTGTTCCTCAGCTCTACAGTCATTTTGCGGAATGCCATTCTCCTACGTAGTGCTGCAAAAATCTGGCTGTGTCAATACTGCTCCGGTAAGTCCTGCTGTGACCTGTTGGAGCGGAGGATGGTCTCCTTGACATGAAAGTAGTGAAGTGTAGTCAGCCCGTCCCTTGGGGTGGTAGTGGGTAGATGCTTTGGTTTTGCCACCCTGTGTGCTCTGTCCATCAAGTACAGCGAAGGCTGTATGACTGTGGCTAGGGTCTAGAAAAGGCCTGTCAAGAAGGCTGTAAGGTCTGCCAATGGGGACCTCTTCTGGGATCCCCCTGATCCTTAGTTTTTGCTGGTGGGATCTGTCTTCGAGGTCCAGTGCCTTCAATTCCTGCTTTTCTAGCCTGGCTTCCATTTTCTCCACCTTATCAACAAAGCTGTTGTGCGCGTCTGTGAATTCCGACATTTTGGTTTCGATATGCGCTGTGCGGTTACCCAACTCCAATAGGTCTCTCCGTAAAGCCGAGATAGCTGATTGTACTGTAGTCTGGATTTTGACTGCCATGTTATCCAGCGTTCGTTGATCAATGTCCCTCTGGATGAGCATGGTCTCTTGTGGGGATTGGGGCCTAGACACGTCTCTGTCATCTCCACTGCCATCTTCATCTTGGGTGTGCGTGTCTGGCACCTATCGGTTTAGCCATGAAAAAGGAGTGCTTGTCTTTGGCATTGGCCATTTTCCTTGTCCCCCTCTGTGACATAGTGGTTTCACCAATAGTGAGGTACGTTTTAAGCTTATTTAGCTGCTGTAATTTGCTTTTTTGGCCTTTGGCAGAGAAGCTCAGATCCTATGCGACCATGCCATTCGAGCACAGGCTCCGGCCCCAGGCATATAATATTTAAAATTATTCCAAAACTTATGAAATCTTAGAATGGAATACTACATCTGAATTTTTGCAGGAATTGAGGAATTACTCCAAACAGGTTTGGGAAATGATGTGATCACTAGAGACAAATTTGAATTTATCTCCAATCCCAATTGTATGGTGGCGGTTTTCTATTTCCTGACAAAAATTCATAAGAATTTTTTTTTTAAATCTGGTCGTCCCATCATCAGTGGCATCAACTCTTTATCATGTAATTTATCTGAATATGTTGATTTTTTTCTTCAACTATATGTCCCTTTAAGTAACACTTACATCAAAGATACTAAACATATTTTACAGGATTTGCAACAAATACAATGGAAATTCACATATCTATTAGCTACTGCAGATATTAGGGCCCTATATTCCAACATTTCCCACCAGAAAAGGGGTGACAGCTATAAAAGAGATTCTTAGTCTCCATAAGCATTTGCAGGATGTACAAATCATTTTTTTGATGATTTGTATTATTTTTGTTCTTACTCTGAATTTTTTCTGGTTCAACAAACAGTTCTTTTTCCAGTTATGTTGTTTTGCCATGGGTACTTAGTTTGCCCCCAGTTTTTCCAACCTGTATGTGTCCCACTGGGAGCAACAGATTGGGGGACCATACAGGAGGCAGGCAGGTCCTATTGCAATGCTACATAGATGATGTGCTGTTAATCTAGGAGGGAGATGTTGATGGTCTAAATTCTTTGTTTGAATACATTAATCCTAACGATTTTAATCTCAAATTTACCTTCAATTCTAACAAAACATCCATAGATTTTTTTGGATCTATTTATAAAGATCAAAATCAATTGAAGACCAAAACATATTTTAAACCCACCGATTGTAATACAGCTAAAGAATATTCAAGTTCCCATCATCCCTCATGGCTCACTAATATCCCCAAAAGTCAACTAATTCGTCTTAGAAGGAACTGTACCGAAAAAGCTCATATTGTTAAAAAGCGTTACATTGAAAGGGGTTATAATATAGAAAAGATAGAAATGGATGAACAAATTGTATTACATAAAGATAGATCTCTCTATTTAAAAGGAAATATTAACCAACAATATTATTAAAAAAACAAAATACAAATAATAACAAATTTCAATTTGCTTTTATAACACAATATAAAGCTCAGGCAAAAAAAAAAATGAAAAGGTTTTCAAGAAACATATATATTTTTAAGATATTTTACCAAAATTTCCAACAGTAATATATAAAAGAGCAACTAATTAATAAAATAAAATAAAAAACTGGCTCCTAGTCTACTTCCTACTGAACCCCCCCCTAATAATCCACTCCAAACTCCAATATGTGGTTTTTTTCATTGTGTACACTGTTCCACATGTAAATATCAAAAAAGAAAATTTTTTACTTTTGTGTGCACTTATACTCAGAAAACATATAATATTAAAAAACATATCCAGTGCTCTTCTACTTTTGTGATTTATTTATTACAATGTGGATGTGGAGCCCAGTATGTGGGCCGCACCACACGAAAACTACATGTCAGACTTCTTGAACATTTTAATAACATTAAAAACAGTAAACTTGATCATATTGTCCCAAAACATTGTAATTCCTGTCCTTTATTTTGCTGGGATAATTTTCAAGCGTTTGGTATAGACCAAGTTAAGTTGGGCTGGAGGGTGAGGCGGCGGTTACAAATTACAGGAATTTATTCATAAAGAAGCCTTTTGGATCTTCAATCTAAAAACTCTTCATCAAGGTCTTAATCAAGAAATAGACCTTCATTGTCTTATATAAATATGTTTTTTCCTGTTGCTTCTGTATTTATATACTTACAGTGTGTATCTATTTGGTATTTCCGATATCAGCACTGTGTTGTTTGCTATCTCTCAGGGAACTACTGTATTATTATTTTTTATCTGGGTTACTTTTTTATATTTATTTTTATTTTATTATTTTTTATTATTATATTTTTCTATTATTATTTCTATTAATTTTATTTTTATTTATTTTTCTCATTTTTATTTATTTATACATATTTTTATTTTTTATTCTTATATTTTATTTATTATTATTTTTGACTTTTTTATTTTATTTTTTATTTTTATTATTAATGAAAAAAATATTTAGTATGTTTTTATTTCATTTCTATCTTAAGTTTATTTTCATTTTTAATACTTTATGCCTTTTTTACAGCCAGCTTTTTTATAATTTTTTTAAACATTTTTCACACTTCCCCTCAATGTTCGCATATTACACAGTGCGTTAAACAGGTCTGTTCCTTTAGATTTGTTTGTGTTAAGGCAACTGTTCGCCTATTTTGTTTTATTCATTTTTTAGATTTTGTCCGGTTTCCCTTTTGCCCGTGTGCATGCTGTTTCAGTACATGCGTGCACGCGCTGAATGAGCCGGCTCCGCATACATTCGAATGCCGCATCCATGCGAACAGCCGCATTATTTACCTCACACTTCGGTGCATAGGATGTATGTCATTGCATTCCAAAGTGGAACGCACGCCAAAAACCAGGTGAAATGGATGAATACATGGATGGCTGGCATTATAAGTAGTCTCCACTGTGATGGATACACACATCCCTGAAGAAGTCCTTTTTTTACCGGATGAAACGCGTTGGATATCTACAATATTTTATGGACTTTTAAAGATTTTATTTTGTATATTTCTTTACTTTGTTTGGATGTTTGCTATTTTGGCCTATCTTCCACTTTGCTGTTTTGGTACTGTGAGACCACACCACGCTGCTGCTGCTGAGTTCCACTATCTGTGGAGATATGCCCATGATTTCTTCCCATTTGTAAGTGCAATCTAATAAATGCATCTTAGTTTTTAATGGTACCTCACTATGTGCGGTCTTTTTATTTTCATACATTATATCAAGCTATCTTCCCCATCTGAGACTCTCCATACAACTGATTCAATTTTACAACTGGTGGGGTGAGAGGCCTGATATATGATCGGTTTGTAAGTTTTCTAGCAACATCACATATTTCTCTATTTTTTTACTGTATTACGCTATGTCTTGTTTGTTATTATTATAGATCTCTAATTGGTCTACGGATCCTGGTTCATATTTCCAGGTTGTTGCAATTTTTCGTATACGTATACTGTTTTTTTTCCCCACTTTTCTTTGTTATAGGAAACCATCAATGACTTAAAATCTCATTTGATTAATGCTGTGGCCTAATAATCTAAAGTCTTTGGCCACAAGGGATTTATCAATGCCCTTTTTGAAGGGTAGTCAAATGTTGCCCTTGTGCTCCCTGATTATTTCCTTGACAGCGCAAATAGTCTTCCCCATGTATAAAAGGCCACATTGGCATTTACGTATACAAAATGAGTAGAATTAAAGATATAAACATCCTGGATATTATACCTGTATTTGTACCCTGTGATTGTGTAAAAGAATCCCAGTTTTGTATGAACCCCTTTTTGTATGAGAATAATGATGGCTGTTGGAAAATAGGGGGCAGGAGGGCATCACTAGTGAGTATCTCCCAAGGTCTCGAGATGATGAATCTAAGATCTTGACTTGCTGAGGTATATCTATATATGAAAGGAGTCCTCTCAAGGAACTTGTCTGAATAGAGTAAGTTTGCCCTCTTGCTAGTTTCTGTTCTCTACCTGGGTTTGAAGGCAATCTGTAGGGTAATCCCTCTGCCTGAATTTCTCAATCGTGAAAGAAATTATAGGGGTTAATATTGTGGAGTCTGAAACAATCCTCTTAGTTGATGAGGTGATTTGAAAGCTCCTAATAGATTATTGCAGTCAGTCTCCTTCAGGTATATATCACTCACAAAGACAGGGGTTGGTTAAATACCCTGTGTATAAATATGGATTTATAGATTAGTCTATAGTAATTTAAAAAAAAAAACGTATTGAAGACAACAATATTTTAAAAAGCATTATTTTTCATGGTGACTTTGTACCATATAGTATTAACTAAGGGGTGGTTTTTTTTTTCTGTTTAAAGACTTTAAGGTCATCGGTGAGCCTGGGTGGTGCTCATACTTACCATAAAGAATCTGCCATTTACCTTCACTGTAAACGGGAGGTATACTTGAGTGCCTTTTCATACTGTATAATTTAGTGTGCAATACAGTTATTAACATTTAGTTATTAAGTATTTCTCAATTTGATGAAATTCCATATAGATACGTAACTGATCTGTTGGAACCATTTTTTTTAATGATGTTCTTAC